AGATAATTGTCATTAGTACATCACATGGTTAATATCTAAAGACACAGTCACATCAGGAAGGATTTTTACAAGCTCAGAGCTTGAGAAGAAATTTTAGCTCCCGATCAAGGCTGGTACTTACAACTACTTTATCCTTCTATGGCTATTTTAGCCTTACTAAGGATTTGGTTAGCCTATACAGAAAGAGGTGATAAAAACAGGATAGCTGAAAACTAGTCTTCCCTTTAATCAGGAAAATAAGTTTGTAGGATTAGTTTCCCCAGAACTGAGAAAGCTGGACCTTTCTAACTGTTCTACAGGTCATGGTGACCAGTAGAGCAAGGGAGCCTGTTAGCAAGTGAAATGCTTCACCATTTCAAAGCCAGCTGAAGCCTGTTTGAGTGAGGTAGATGAGCAGGATCTCTCTGTGCCTTGGGCACAACTCTATGTTTACTTAAAGCACAAAGGCTGTTACAGCTGTCTGTAGCAGTTTAAATAGCCTTAGTTCAATCAGTGGCTCATTTTGCTGTCTGAGTACTGGTACTGTTTTTTCATTAAGACACATCTTGCTAATGAAACCACATGAAAAAAAGGAAGCAAACACTACCTTCCACCACTCCCAGTACACTCAGAAAATGTGTATTCAAAAACAGTACTTAAACTCTATCAGCAAGTTTTCTCTCTGTCAATGCTTATAGAAATATTTTTTTAAAAGGCCAAAAAATCAAGAGCTATAAATTTCTAGTTCAGTCTAAATTCAGAACCCCAAACAGCAGGTTGATGATGCCCTTTCCAAAGACATTCCCAGCCATGTTTTCCAGATTTACTGAAAGGCAGAGTAGTACTCTTTTTCAAACCTGGAAGGACAGACTAATACTATTAAACAGGAACAATCTTATTACTATTTTGTAAATCTCAGGCACAAATGTGTGCTTATAGGCTTGATAACACATACACATGCTCAGACAAAACTGAGGAGCAACAGTAACATCCATTTTCATTGAGGTACCACTAGACAAATTCAATGCTTACTTTTGTGATAAGGCTGCACAGACATTTTCCCCTATTGAACAAGATCAATAGAATGATAGATATAAATAATGTGCATTTACAGACAAGGAAGTCCATGCATTCTGGTCACCTTAGTATGACATATCTGGAAAGGAAGGAAAAAAAGATCTGTAGAAGTGTCTCATTCCTCAAAAATAATAATGTTCATGTATCCAAGATAAGAGACATGCTATCTTAGGTGAACAGCAGCTTCCTTTGTCTACAGGGATTTTGCTCAGCAATCATAAATAATAATAAATAGTGAAGATAAAGCACAAGACATCACTTTCACCAATCCTAAATGCAAGGCAATATAATGCAATCAAAGTTTCAAGTCTTCCCAGAGTTTTCCAACAACAGCTGCATATTGAAAAGGTAATAATGAAAGACAACACTTCCAACTTCAGCAAAAGCAACTGCCATGGAATTTGAGTTATCAGCAATAACCTGATAGATTCAGCTTAGTCCTTCAAGAGGGGCACTAAGCTGCCAGTTCCACAAAAGTAGCCTTAAAAACATCTGGACTGTAATAATTATTTTGAAAATAGTTGCATGCTGAAAATAGTCACTGCTAAGCTCATTCAATAATTGTTGAAATACAAATTTCTCTTCAGTTCAGCATGGCTGCAATCTTGTTTTCACTCACCAAAGTAAATTCACTGCTCAGAGAAGAGAGGTCCAAGGTTTCCATGCTTCATTTTGAAGTGTTATGTCAGGTATGTGGCCATAAGGAGACACCACACCACAGGGCAGACAGACTGTGTCTGCTCCATGAGGAAATAGCTCAGTGGACTCACACAGGAATAATAGCAAAGTCCAAGCTGGAAGCACAGCGTGCAGCTATGCCAGGATGCCTACATCACCTGGGGATATGACCTGAGATTAGACCTTCCCTGCACTAAATGTATAAAAGAGATAATTCATGGTACTAAAGCAATGGAAATACACAAAGTAGGCTAACAGGCAAGTACTCTTGTAGCTATTTTACAGAGAATTAACAGAAGCACTGTAATGAATTTGCTCAAAAATTGACAAGAAAAGGCTAAGGTGGAGGGGCAGAAGCCAGCTCTCCTGCATCCTAATTCAGTGCACTGTTTCCAGGATGATACTTCATATTCCTAAAAGTGGTCCGGTTGCTTGCTGAGAACAGAGGCCAGTGATGGCAACTGGCTGAACTGAGTTCAACTTAGCAAGAGAAAATCCAGAATTAGTTCATCCTGGATGTGATTAAAAGAGAGAGAAACAGCAGTCCTTAAACACTGCTAGTGCTTCAACTCCAGGTATTTATAAATCAATCTTTTTAATTAATGTTCACCCGATAAAGTTTCACAGATTCCCACCACTTAGAAGAGAATCCCTATCTCACTTGAACAGGATAGCCACCAAATTTTGTGACTGGCTGTCTTAAGCAGCACAGCCCACTGAGTGGCTCTGTAACCTTGAATGGAACCACTTCCTTGAAAGGCAGATCTTGTCACTCTACTGCTGTCTTCCTGGGATGGAGTCACACTGTGGTCTACACAGCAGCCTGCAGGGACCACCCTGGACATCTGTTGCCAAGGGCTGTGAGAGCAACAACAGAGGGTCTTAACACTCCCTGTGGGAACAAGAGGTTATATTCCAGATGGGAACCATTAAAGAGCAGGCTATGTCCTGCAAACAGGAGACCCCAGCATAATTATCTATCTAATAGTAGTACACTAAAAACTCAATGTGAGGAGTCTTCAGTACTGCTGTATTGCCACACTGTCAGCCTGGATGAAAACTGAGCATACCAGCTGATAATCTGAAAACCACACAGGGAACCATAATCACTGCACATTGCAAGTAAGCACATTTCTGTCACTTTCTTCTCATAAAGAGCCTTTAAATCATGGCAGCACTAAGGAAACCTACTTATTTCTACACACTGGTTTTACAAAGCTACCCATACCATTTTCCTTACTCCACTGTCTCAAACTGAATAATCTTTCAAAAGCTGTTAATCAGCTTTCATTATCTCTAAATTGCTTTTCGCTTGCTTGCAATTAAGGACTAATATCCAAAGAGTTAAAAATTTATAAGGTAATTAACCATAATGAGTAACTCTTTTTAAACTACCATCAACTGCTGGATATCAACAGATGTCTTAGTTTTTCCCAATAAACCTTTCTTCCCATTTACTTATACAAGCTCATAAATGAAGATTTATTTAGCAGAGGTTGAACATTCACCAGACACTATATGTGCCTATTCCTTCTCTAGAAAGCAACTAGCCATAGATAAGAGTATCTGCAAACTAGCAATTACTGTGGATTCAGAAGATTTTAAGGTGACACTAACCCAACAAAATATCTATGTTTATGCATGTGAAGTATATTTCAAGTTCAGAGGAAGAAACACAGACAGAAAGAGAGCACACAGATGTTGCAATTAGCTAATGGCAGGAGATAATTCTTCTCAGCATTTGTAAATATCACCACATGAAATATATTTCCTTTCCTTGTACTTTCATTCAATTAAATGATGGCCAAGCAGTGCTAAAAACTTCTTTGAGTAGGTCAACAACATATTAAGCATTACCCAAGTTAAAATATCAAACTGAATTAGTGAACTGGGTCCAAGGTTATAAACAGTATATGTGTTTGGTTTTTTCAGCCACTCCAGCATGATACAAAAATTTAGTTCTGTTAATGAGAGCCATTATTCCTGAGAAAAATTGTTCATTTTTTTTCATGTATGTCCCTACATGTGGCATTCAATGTAACACAAGTTCAACTCACTCACTGCACTCCAAAATCTGTCAGAGAAAGCCCCATTTAGGAGTTTGTCAGGTAGGTCTTACACAAGAAATTGCAGGTCAAAACTCACAAGAGAATGAAATCTGATCCCCTTTACACTAGGACTTGTAACTCACAGTAAAAGCAGGAAGCTCCTAATTCAGCTGCAGTTCTTAGAGTGCTCAAAAACTCTTCTTGGTAAGAAAGTAAGGTGTACATCCCCAGAACAGAATTTATTTCATCAGTATTTCTCTGCTTTTTCCTTCCTGCAGAGTTAGGTTGTTTCCATAGAGAGAGTCATTAGCAGAACTACTAGCATCCAAGTTTTCTGCAATTTTCTTCAGCAGCAACCACAGAATAGCAAACTTGAGGAAAAGTAAAGATGTTCTCAAGACTCTCGGTATAATGTTTCAGTTAGACAATCAGTCAACCATTTGAAGCTTTAAAATACATTTAGCTGTTTCATTTTAGAGCTGTGTAAGAGGAAGCTCTAAAATGACACTTCAAACGTGATTTTTTTCTTCTCCTGTTTGTACGGAGGTGTTTCACATTTCTGTTTTCTTTTGAAAACTATGTCCCAGTTTAGAAAGCATGCACATACTGATGGGGGAAAAATGTATAGAGTGAAAATAAGCATTATGCCTGTTTCCTATGAATTTAAGTTTTCAACAGTCATTACATTGCTTACTGGAGTAGACAGTGTGAGCTTAAAAGCACTATTAGTGTTTAGTTTAGGATGAAATTGGTCCATGTTTAACCAGTTTCAAGACTCCTCTACAAAACTTTCAGAGTAAGGATTTTTAGCAGGATGGCTGGCTCTGCACCCCAGAGGCCATGCCAATGCTGGTGGCCTGCTCAAGGATCCAGGCTGGTTCCACCATGAAGCAGTGTGCAGCAGCCTGCGGGGCAGTGCCCTCTCAGGTTCTACAGCATACTCCTCTCCCCCACCATGCAAGCATGACCTTCCCAACAGTGCAACCAAGGAGAAGGAGGAGGCCCCTAATCTGGAGGCAGAGCATCCCACATAGTGCTAGCCAGGAAACCCTATTTGGAGCCAGAACTATTTCTAATGATAAGCCTGAAGTTTATGTAAGCTTGTGGCCCACAGTCTTTTAAATCAAGACTTCTTGGAGACTAAGGATGCACTTTCTGAATGTTTTTACTTTTCCAACAGGTAACTTCTACAGGTAAAGATCACCTTTAGAAGGGAACATGGATTTAATAAACTCAACTGAACAAAACAGCACATCAGAGCCACCATTCAAATGGGTGACATCCAAGATTCTCATTTCCATTACCCTGTCTGTGCTTGCTCTAATGACAACGGCCATCAATTCCCTCGTGATGACTGCAATAATTGTGACCAGAAAGCTGCATCACCCCGCCAACTATCTAATCTGCTCTCTTGCAGTGACTGATTTCCTTGTGGCAGTCCTGGTGATGCCCTTCAGCATTGTCTACATTGTAAAGGAGACCTGGATCATGGGGCAAGTGGTGTGTGATATTTGGCTGAGCGTGGACATTACGTGCTGCACATGTTCCATCTTGCATCTCTCTGCCATCGCTTTGGACCGGTACAGAGCAATCACGGATGCTGTGGAATATGCACGGAAAAGGACACCTAAACATGCTGGCATCATGATTGCAGTGGTATGGATCATATCTATTTTTATCTCCATGCCACCTTTGTTTTGGCGGCACCAGACGGCCAGCAGCGAGGACGAATGCATCATCAAACATGATCACATTGTTTTCACCATTTACTCTACATTTGGCGCCTTCTATATCCCACTGACCTTGATTCTGATTCTTTATTACAAGATATACAAGGCAGCAAAGACATTTCACAGGAGAAGCGTCAGCCGGATCGTAAGGGAGGAAGGGGTAAATGGACAAGTCCTTTTGGACGCAGGTGAAAGAAGCACCAAATCAGCCTCAATGCCCAGCACAACGGAGAAGACATCAGATCCCCTGGTGAACTCTGATAAAATCAATATCACCCTACGAAGCCCCAGGTCTGAATCTAAGCATGAGAAGTCCTGGAAAAAACAGAGAATCTCTAGCACAAGAGAGAGGAAAGCAGCAACTACGTTGGGTCTGATCTTGGGGGCATTTGTGATCTGCTGGCTCCCTTTTTTTGTAAAAGAAGTAGTTGTTAATACCTGTGAAAGATGTCACATCTCAGAAGACATGTCTAATTTCCTAGCATGGCTGGGATATATAAATTCCCTTATTAACCCTTTAATCTACACAATCTTTAATGAAGATTTCAAGAAAGCCTTCCAGAAGCTTGTGCGGTGTAGGCAATAACTTTTAAGAGCTTCTGTTCATATAAGCAGAACATACTCATTGTTTTTTAACCTGTATAAATTTATATAACTGAGATGACATTTGTTGTATTTAAGGAAAAGCACCAGGACTCTACATTTACATTATGACTCTTCTTTGTATAAGTAGTACTGGGAGCATAAATTGCCCAAGTTTTAAAGAAATGGATCATCTGCGATCAAGAAGTAGCATATTGTGGCTCTGATACAGTTGGGAATTGCACAGCTGCCTAGCTTGAAGCATAAGGTATTACCTTAAATATGGAGGAAATATACACTTGAAGTAGACAAAGAAACAAAATTTTTTTAAAGTAACCCTCAGTCATCAATGACATTTTAAGCAAAACATCACACAGGTTTTAAACCCTATTCATATAAGACAGAAAATACACCATGGAATTGATTTTATCATTTTGGCATAGGCCTGCAGCATAGAACCAAGTTGTTCCCAGAGAAGGGTAGTAGCTTTAAATATATCTAGCATCATCCTATGTTGATTAGCTGAGTGCGGCTGTAGCCCTGCCTTCTCCCACAGATGAAGGACTTCCCTGTGTTACACTCTCGCAGCATCCCAGCAGCAGGCAAAGTGCTTTCATGGGTTACCAGTTTCATAGCAAGCCAGTGTTGTGAGCCCTCTGCCACTGCACACCTACAACAGATGTGGGCACAGCCCCAGGGGAAACAGGCAAACATCTGGGGCACTTGAGTGAGCGGGGTACACATAGCTGGTGCACTGAGACACCATTTCTGTAGGGACTGTGGAGGAAAAGCTCATAAAGAACAGCTGGTCCTCCTTATGGAGATATTAGAAGGAAAAAAAGCACGAGACTCTCCTTTCTTCATGTCCTCAACCCTACCTCACACTCCTGGCCAGGCACAGAACCTGTGACTTGCAGCACCAAACCCAGCCACACAGTTTGTGCCAGGGCCCCCAGAGCGTTGCTGATGGAGGGTGGCTTGGTGAGGTTTGGTTGAGGGCACCCAATGAAGAACTGAGGCTAACAGCTCCAGCTCAGCATGTTCAGCCCTCCACTCTCGGAAACCTGATGTCCCCCAAGTCTTTTCTCAACTGCCTCAAGCACTAGGGCTTTGCACTCCCTTTCCAAGCATGTGCTGGCAGAGTGGGTCTCTGGAAAAGGCTGTGATGCAGCTTCTGAAGTAAGGGCAGAGGGAGTGACCTCAGTATGCAATGCACACCTGGGCAGGGGATCCTGTGGGTTGCTCACTGGCAGGCACCTCTAAACCCCTCCTTCCCCCAGAGTCCATATGCCCAGTACCAGCAGAGCTTAAAGGGTCTATAGGCACTCCAGCCAGCCCTGGAAAGCTTGTTCAGTCATCTCAATGAACAAATCCCTTCTAAGGCCTCAAATATGGTACCTTGGCCAACCCTAATTGACATGCTCTAGATACCAAGCCACAGCGCTAATGAGTGCAAGAACAGCCCTTGCCTCAAAACCAGCAGCTCAAGTTTGCTGGCAGCTAAGGGTACAGAGCAGTGGCAATTTACCCCTGCATGCAGATGAGTCACTAGGAGCCACAACAGAGCCCAGACTCAGGCTATGTCACTAAGAGCCCAGCTTTGAATTCATTGCCAGACATTCAGTGCTACCTTGCAGGACTAGGCATTTAAGACTCCTTACAGGAACCACAAACCCTGCTGTCAGCAGCAGCAATCTCCTGCAAAGGTGCTCTGATCTGGCACTTGGGCCAGCAGCTTAGGGACACCACAAAGAAACTGAGACATGAAACCACTATGCTCACCCTTAGTTCGGGAAAGGTGTCACAGGTCTTTACAGTTGTTCTTCCAAGAGACTTTCAGTGGTTTGCATTTGACTGGAAAACTTGAAAAAAGCCATCACTTGTTTCTCTCTCTCCCTCCCCTGTATCACAAACTCTGGAGTTAAATAATTTTTATATTTTGCCCACTGGCTACCAGCTGACACAACAACTGTCAGAAGAGTTTCTTGCAAGATGACGATGTTTGAAACTTGAGATACTGAACTAATTTGTTTCTGTCACTTGCAACTTATTGTAATCTGCTTTCACATCAAGTGAGATGCTATTCAGTACTAGAAACAATACATTTGCTTTACCATTGATTTTAATGCAGCCAGGAATCTAATGGAAAGCTCACTTGTCATGCCATGTAGCTCTAACAGAGTAGTAGCACAGCTAAATTTTGAAGATGCTAGGATGTGACAGAATGGAATTGGCTCATGCTCAGTGCAGGCTAGTGCTCTTTACTATCATTGCAGTCAGAGCACAGCCTCTGTAGCCTCCATGACCTCAGCAGTGGCTGCATTATGCTGAAAGATAAAACTGCTTTAAGCATCAGCTGTGCTCTGCTTTCTCCAGAAAGAGCCATGGAATTCAGCTTTCTAAAATGATTAGCAGATTAGCAGGAGGCAGCAAAGAAAAGCCCACTAAAACATATAGTATTGAAGACCTCTGTTTCCCATATTTCCAGAGTACTGAGTCGAAACATTGGGGGCACTTATTCCTCCCCACCTGCTTCTCCCTTTATGACTGCTGGAGTATAGAGAATATTGTTTATCCTCTTACACGTAAGGTGTTTGACAATATCTTGTGAAATCAAATTGGACTCAAAAATAGGGGTTGCTTTTTAGGAGAAAAGGTACTTAAAATACTCATTTAAATAATAATTGATAAAGCTCAAAGAATGGAACCATATGTAGATAAACAGAAAATAGCTGTCATTTATGCACTGTTAACAGTATTATACTCTGAATCTAATTAAGCTGCTGAACATTCCTCCAGATGCAGGGTGGTTTCTTTTGTATTGTTTTCATCTGCTCACCCTTCAATACCCCAGTGGTGGAAGAGGCAACTACAAGAACCCTAAGCAAACAAGTAGCAGGTATCCTATTAAAAGCACTTGCAGCTTGTAGACCATCATTTCTTGGTGTCTGACTGCAGCACTTGTTCTCCAACAGAATCCACTGTACCAAACACTTTCTCACACACCACACAGTATCATTTCATCTCTGGCATTTACCTATGCATGTGATGTCTTAAGAAAACACAAGTTCCTCTTTCAAAATGCTTGAAGGTTAAGATTTCTGCAGGATGCTGCTTTCCCTCCCCATGAAGTACACAGGCATTCACCGGAGCTTAGCACCAGATTCATGGAGCAAGAGGGAGCAATATTTTATGCCCTGGAGCTAATATTTTTTTGCAAATAGCTCTGTGCCCTGTGAGAGTTCAGTCTCAGCAAATATAAAAAAAATATGTCTGGTTTCCTGTCTCTATCAGAAGACTCTGTGTGTGTATTTCAGGGAAAGGGCTGACATCTCCTCCAGAGTTTGCAGAAAGCTTCCTGGATCAATATCCCTGCTGCAGCTTCCTTCCCCATTGCTTTTTTGCTGCCCACCCATCCGCCCATCAGATTAGATTTCTTCCAACAGCCAGAGAACTGGATTTGGAGCAGCTGACCTGCTCCCACTACAGCTTTCACAGAGAATGATTCCTGAAGCAGCTGTGAATACGATATCCAGTTCAGGTGGATGGTTTTTGCTAACAACAAGCAGTTAGATACACCTCGTTTCCTGTACTCATTTCTTTGCCTTTCCTCCCTACCAGACACTTTATTGGTGTCCTTTCCTCCCGAGGATGGCATATCCCTACAAAGAGCTTGGGCATACAAATATACATTTGTTTTGCTGATGCACTCACACTTGCTAACGCATGACTGTACCACCCAGAAACACCCACCTCATCCAAATGTGCTTTTGGCAGTCACTGTCTTCAGCTGGTGCCTCATTGTTCATGGTGCTAGGGAGGTACATGGAAATAGCTATGTGCCAAATTATTTTCTCCAGCAGTTACAAACTCAGCACATTATTTCCAGGCAAGTACACATTACTACTCGGCCTTTGCATTCAGATTCCCTTGCAGAAGAGAAAGAGAAAATCACTGCTGCAGCTGCTGCAAGAAAGGACTTTTTTGAACTCTACACACCAAAGAGCAAATGCTGCAGGAAAGCAAAAGGAAACCCTTGCACCAGCCCTGCAAAGATTAAGCATAAACCTAACAGTTGTCTCATCCAGAAACAGGAGTTACAACAGTACATGAGTAGCTGTTCTCAGTCAGAGAGCTCATGGGTCAGCAGTCCTCTACTGCTCACAGCAGGCACTCACAACTCACCAACACCCAAAAGCAAGCAGCAAATGGCATCTGCTGGTGGCTCTTGCACTCCTCCAAAAAATGCTACTGCACTACAGGGATAGTACTACCAATGGCAGAACTGATAAAAATTACCAGCAAGATGTTGTTATCTCCTCCCATGCAAAATCCTGAAATGAATTAAACTATTTTTAAGATTTTTTTTCATTTGTCTTCTGGGGAACCTGGGTCAAATTTCTTATTTTTCTCCTCAGCCAGGAAGGCTAAACTGCCAAAAGAAACATAAACATTTCTTTCTTCTATTGTTTCTAGCCGTCATTTAGTATCTCAGGAAATTAAGGCTTTGGTGATACCAATATTGGCTAAGAAGAAAGATTACAGAGAGCAGAACAAACATAAGTCAGAAGCATTGGCATGAACGGCCAAGGTTGCCAACTGAATTCAAAACAGCCTTTCTGGTGTCAAATTCCTCACTCATAATGGACATCAATGACTGAATGCAGCCTTATATCCTCAGGAATGAGTTTCATAAATTACTTCGCATTCAAGTGAGTTACTTCTTAAGCAAAAAAAATTTAGGCAAGGAAAAAGTACTGGGTTGCATTAATCAAACTACATTAGTACAATTATGTATTTAAAATTGTGGTTGGGGCAGCAAAAAGTCAAAGATGCTGCTTATTGAATGCTATTAGTTTTTATTCACTAGTAGCTCAAATCTATTGTATCCACTCTTATTTATAATATAATAC